GTCAGCTTCTGATCTCGCACGCTGACTTCCAACAAAGCGAAGGTGAGCGGCAGGAGGGCTGACTTCTAATGGAATTACTGACAGACCTAGAACAATGGCGACGGCTGGAGGCATGGGGCCAAAATCTCCCCTTGCAAACGCTCTGATTACCATATTCAAGGGGCCCTGCCAGGTGCTGATCTCAAGTCATTTTTTTTTTTAAAAAAAAGCCTTCCTGCACTAATTTAAAGCACCCTTGCCCGCCCACTTCCCAAACCCGAGAGTGTGAGCTGGAGACTTCCCTAACAACTAGCCGAGATGCTCTGAACTCAAAGTTTCATGGTACAGAAAGAGGACGACAGTTCACTTAGAATTTCCTTTCCTTCCTCGTTGCCTGTTTTGCTGCCACAGTGTTTTGCTGGTGGTGCTGTTTGGAAGCCTGGAATTTGCATCACACAGAAAAACAAGTCTGTGTCTTAACTGGTGTTGATGATTGCCACAGTCACTCCAGAAGTCTCCACTTGCATCCAAGTTAAGTGTGTGTGTGTGTGGGGTGCTAGTCAATAGTCAAGCATCCCACCCAGACGGGGCTTCTCCAAGCCCTGTCTTAACTGTGGGTCAGAAAGGAGGGCCAAGGTTTGAGGCTGAATGGACACGGGTCAGTTCTTCAGAGTTGACTATCAAGTTGGGGGGTCCAAAGGTAACTGGGTCATTTCTAGAACAAGCAGGCATGAACCTCAGCCTAGGGTAACCCTCTCATCCCCTTTCCATGTAAGGGAGCAGCCTAGAAGCATCTCTGTAACAGTACTCAACAAGCCACAGTTTATCCTGGCTTCAGAGCAACCGTGGCTTGCATCAACCAGAGGCAAAGTTCATCCAACTCTTCTGAATTGCAAAGAGAAACTCCTTCCTTCCTTCCCTTCTATCCATCCATCCATCCATCCATCCATCCATCCATCCATCCATCCATCCATCCATCAAGGAGAGTCAGGGTTCCTGAGCCTTCCCCTTCCTCATTCTATAAGGAGAGTCGGGGGTCCTGAGCCTTCCCCTTCCTCATTCTATAACTGTGCCTTGTGGTTTCAATCGTGCGGGACCCGTCATGCCATGCTTCCTTTAAGAGATGGCTGGTCCTACCTCTTCCAAAAGGCATCCGCAAAAGACTCAGAAATGCCAGCCACGCCTCGCAGGCTGCCATGAGAGAACTCAGCCTCTTCCTCATTTAGCTCTCTTTCCTCTCTGCTCTTAGACAAATGTTAACATGTGCCTGCACATTCCGGACTTTGAGCAAACAATAATTAGCTCACTGCCTTGAAAAAGCTCCGTAGATAATTTGAATTTTGCCTGCTAATACCTTCTCTTTTATTACAGACCACTTCCTGCTGAATTCCATCTCCGACAAAGCACGCCAGAAGTGAGAAAATCGCTCGCTGTGACTACACATTCATTGGCGCCGCTCTGTTTTGATCACAGAGGCAGGAAAGGGGAACAGTTGGATCAGGGTCGTCCGCCCGCCACGGAGAGAGAGTGCTCGGGCCCTTCAAAGCCCCCTTCCTCAAGGACACTCCTTCCCCCAGTTTCCTCATGGGGGGTGTCAATTTAGGAAAGGGGTCTCTGATACAGTGCTGGAAACCCCAGGGCTAAAAGACTCTCCTTCTGCCTCTGGGATCTGCTCCGTGCCAGGATGTGAATGAACCACAGGGAGCTGGTCACAGGCAGGAAGGGGTCTCCAGGAGAATGGCACTTTGTGCTGATGGCAGGTCTTGGGGTCTAGGATGCTCTCAAGGCCATGAACCCACCAGGACCGATTTCCCCAGCATGCAGTGAGAGGCAGTAGCAACCTGGACATCGCTCCGCAGGAGGGTGACCACGTTTCCCATCTGGATCTCCCTCCATGCTGGAAGCACCACAAGGACGGGGGCTATCACTCAGGGTAGAGAGTGTCCACTATCCTGGGGAAAAGGAAGGCAGGCAGGGCTGTCTTCACCCTGACAACAAAGCCGGCCCCGTGGCCTGTTAGTCCTGGAAGCAGAACCCATAAGGAGGATGACCCTTTCCCATGAACTCCCTCCGGCCACTGGACACGAGCCTAGCGACTGGACCAAGCCTCCTTCAAGAGGCCGTAGGGGACAGGCAATTGGGCGGCTCCTCCGTTTGCTTAAATGAAGCTGGCACCGCCAGAACAGATGCTCTTTCCTTGCCTTTCAAGGTCAGCCAAAGGGAAGCAGACGCAAGATGGCCAAGGAAGGAGAAACCAGCGCCCGCTCTGGCCCTCTGCAAGTCCAGCGCAGGATCGGCCTGTTGACACGAAGGCAAAGTTACATGTCCCTGTTGGCTACCTTCCTCCCCCCTCCAACAGCGCGGTGTCCTCCAAAGAGCTCCAGACCTCCAGCACCCCCATGTCTGTTCCCCCCCATCCCTGCTTCATTCTCCCAAGAACACTACGAGGTCGGTCAGGAGAAGAGGCAGAGACGGACACCAGGGCAAGGGGCACCTGGTGGGTTTTGTGGACGAGTAGGGATTTGTACCCGGGCCTCCCAAAACTCAGCTGCAATGTCAGCCACGCTGGCCCTGGGATGGCCTGTGAGGACCAACAGACGTCTGTGCGGGTGCCACTCCAGGCTAGATGTTCTCACAGCCCAAACTGGAGAATGCAGAAAACCATGCAGGGGCTTTTGGCCAACCGCTGGAAGTCAAAGTGCTCTGTGCTGCCGTCCCACCTGCTCTTGCCCACTGGGTTGACCTCTCCACGGAGGCGGATGCCTCGCCTTGTAAAAGGTGCTCTCTCTCTCTCCCTCTCTCTCCCCCCTGACGGGCCAGGCTCCCTTGCAAACCACCAGGCAGGCTTGGCATCCTTGTCTGCAACTTCGCTTGACCTTCCAGACGGATCTTTCCTTTTCTGTCCGTGCCCGAGCCAACCTGGGGCTGTACGTGCTTCCCCCCACGGTTAAGCTTCTTCGGTCAGCCCTCACAAAGGTGCTAATGTATTATTAAAGCTAATGGAGCTCTACAAGAAATGTTAATGGACATTAAGTTTGCATAAATGAATTACACATTAGCACAGTAGCGGGACCGCCACAATCTGCCAATTTAGGTTGTATCTGATGTTTCCTGTTTTCCCATTACGTTCCCAATACTTTCAGGCAATATGAAAATTGTAAGCAGAATGCTCATAATGGAACAACATAATGAAGTAGAAGAAATAAATTAACACGAGTTGAGGGGCGGGGGAGGGGGAGAGAAGAGAGCAGCTCCTTGTGTAACGTTACGGTTGAGCTGCATATACTGAAGGCATTCTGAATCACTTCCGGAGTGTCCTGCTTCATCTCTGCTCCTTCACGAAAATGGCGAGGCATTAGAGAACCGCTGTCTGGTTAACTGCCACCTCTCCTTACTTGGAGAAAATCTCAGGCCTCTCAGAAACATCCTGCTGGGCGGGTGCCATCCTGCCCCCTCCAATGCCAACCCCTTCCAGCTGTGTTCCTGAGGCATAGGAGATGCCTGTGAATCTGGGCATGGTTCCAATGCAAACACCACACAGCAAAGTGCTCACACCCACCCCTTGCCAGAGCCCTGGACCACCTTCTGGTTCTCTAACACCTGAAATCAGAAAGCACCGCTGTAAGGCTCAAAACCGTCCAGTCATCAATCGGGATCTGCCGTTGCGTTATCCCTGTTTCGGTACGGCCTGATTCTGTGAGATCACACGGATGGGGGCCTCCAGCAGAATCCTTCCCGTCCCACGGACGGACAAAGACATATTTCATTGGATGGGAGAGTGAAAAGAAACGGAGCTGATGATGAAGAAACATAAGCGCCCCTATCTCAGGCATGTTGATTTGCCAATGACAAAACCCTCTACTTGGACACAGCATTCAAGAGAAGATCAGGGCAAAACACGGAAGAGGTGGTCGATACGTTTTTGGATGAGGAACATCAGAGACTGCCTGGCTGGGCCTTGATCGAAGATGACTGGTCATCTGCTCAGTAAGAGGCGGCAGAGAGAGAGAGAGAGAGATACGTTTTTGGATGAGGAACGTCAGAGACTGCCTGGCTGGGCCTTGATTGAAGATGGACTGGTCATCTGCCCAGTAAGAGGCGGCAGAGAGAGAGAGAGAGGTCATGATGCTAGCCAACCTCCACAACTGAGACAAGAGCGAGAGCGAGTGGGAGGGAGGGATCATGCCCATCCTGAGTAAGGTCCTTGTGCGGTGGCTGGTCACACTCCTCACTGAACCCAGTCCCAAATTCAGACCTGCTGCAGAGCAGGGATCAAAAAAAAAGGGGGCCAACCAAGACTTTTCAGGGACTCTGACCTAGGCTACCATCTGTAAGTGGGTTGCCGTTTCAATCCTGCCTCGTAGCTGCCTACAACTTTCTGCCTTCACAGCACCTTGAAGGGAGACCTGCATAGGAACTTGGCAGAGGATCCTGTCCCTGCTTGGTTGTTTCAGGTCCTTCGCTGGTTTGAAACACCAGGAATCAAGGTATCCTTCTGGGTCAATCTCACCACATGGACCTGGAGGGGCTCCAGGTCTTCCTTGACCTCAGAAGCTGGTGCTTGTATATAGTTCCTGTCTGACGGCCTCATGTTTGGCTGGGGGAGAGGGTCCCCCCTTCGGGGGGGGTTTCAGTCTTAGCCCCCATTCTAATCAGCCTATACGTGAAACCACAGGAAGAGGCTGCTCGCCACTGTGGGGCTTAGGGGCCACCAAGGTGCTTGGCAGATTTTGTTTTAAATCATTTTAAGTCTAACAATCCTTCATTATTATGTTTTGTAGAGTATTTTAATATACGTGCCTGCTGCCTTCCATACCGTGTTTTAAGCTACCTTGAAGCCCTGAATCAAGAAAAAGGAACACTCCACATGTAATAAATCAATCAATAAAATGAACTTTGACCGCCAGGTCTAATAGAATGAGGGGGAGCGGGAAACCCGCGAGCATCGTTGCCTAACGGAGGCCGCCCATCCTCTTCTCCGCCAAGCCGCTTCTCCAAAGGGTTGCGATTCTGGTACTCACACAGCACTTCTAGGTAGTACTTGGCTTGCATGTCTTTGACAGCAGGATGGTCGGCCTGGCAGACCACAGGAACGCCATCGTCCTCCCGCTTGACCTTCAACGAAAGCTGGCTGGTCACCGTGTACATGTCTGACCACTGCTCCACTTCGGTTTTGCCGGCTGAAGAGAGGGAAAAACAACAACAACAACAAGAGGGAAAGCAAAGCAGGAGGTGAGTGGGAGGACCAATCCTTCAGACGCCAGGCCTACGACGCCCCATTTGTGGAGGATTTAACTCCGAAGCAAATGCCACAACCTTTGTACACTTCTAATGCAGAACGTCTTGGGTCCCTGTCTGTTCTTCCCATTTTTGCAAAAAAATTAAAATTTAAATTAAAAAAAACTTTTTGGGGGGTTAATCTTCCCACCTATTCAGAAAACTCCTGCCCAGCCTCCCGCCCCCAAGCGGCCCCTTTGCACTTCTTCTGAGCCTAGATATTCCCCCTGCAGCCGCTGAAGCCTTCTGCACCCCTGCTTTTATTTCCTTGATGGTAAGACTCTGCTGGCATCTGAAAGGCCAACTGCACCCCTTCTGGGAACGGAAGACCGTAGCCGACAAAGATTCCTCCTTGTCTCGCCAACTGGAATCGCTGCTGGGAAACTGATGGGCCAGCTCTTCTCGGCTGGTGGGAAGCTTCCTTGCCGGCACATCTGAAGGCGGGTCTCCGTTGCCAAAGGTGGCCGAGAGAGGTAGCCGCTTCCTGGCCTGGTATTTAGTCCAGGAAACACTTAGCTGGTTACGTTGGTGTGTGTGTGTGTGTGTGAGGGGAAGCCAAACCGTTTTGTAACGGAACCGAGCTGGCAAAGACCTGCTTCAAGGGACGGGGAAGGAGAGGAAGCATCTGAGCATGCCGTCTCTCCCTGGCTTCAGATGCAATGAGAAAAGAGGAGGCGGGGAGGCCCCTTCGTCGCTCAACACGGATCTACGGCAATCGGCCGCACGGATTAGGAACTCCAGGACGCCTTCCAAACCCTTAAGTCAATGGAGCCAGAAATACTCCACCCTCATCCTCCATTGCCACTGCCAAAAGCCATCATCAATAATTAAGAGGGAAAGTGACTCTGCGGATTTACATAATTAAAAGCAGTAATTAAAATATTTAAACAGTGGTACTGCCGAAAACCAACAAAAGGCAGCGGCCGCGGGCGGGGGGGGGGCAGAGGCACCCTGTGGAGCTCGCCCGTCGAAAGGGAGCCATCAGGAAAGGCCAAGGAGAGGAGAGAGAGGAGCAGGGAGGCTCCCCAAGAATTTGGGAAGAGCCACCGGCTCGCTGGGACGGAGGGGACCTGGCATGCAGCCTCCCCCCCCCACACACCTGGGGGGCTCCAGGCCAGGGGCCAAAACCACCTCCCAAGTCAGAGGGAGGACAGGCTGCCTCTGGGGTGACTCTGTCTGGCCTTTCCCTTCTTTAGAGGGAAAGAAGGTGGAAGCAAATGAGAAGCATCAGAGGCAGAGAGAGAGAAGGAGAGAGATAGATAGATAGATAGATAGAGAGAGAGAGAGAGAGAGCTCCGTGGTTGCAGTCTCTGGCTTCAGAGCTAGCGGTTGGGAGTTCGATTCCCCCACGGGGCCTCCTTGAGAGGGGCTGGACTCCCTGATCCAGAGGGTCCCTTTAAGTTCTGCAGTTCTAAGGTGATGATGATTAAACAGCTGCTTGCTTGCTTGCCTATGGAGCTGCTCACTTTCTGGCGAAGGGAGGGCTGGTAGCAGAAGCTAAAAGGCAGCTTTACATGCCAAAAGAGTCTCTCTCTTCCTCTCTCGAGCTGGGTGACCAGACCAGAGGCGAGGGCAGGCCAGGGCCCCTCCTGCTGGCCTGTCATTTCGCCGAGCTGCAAAAGGGGCTCCTTGGTGTTTTATTTTCAGCAGCCGTCCTTTGCTTGTGCTCTAATTCAGCTGCGAGCCCCCCCCGAGCAGCCATCAGGCTGAACTGCAGGGTATAAATCCTCAAATAAGTAGATTGATCCAAAACTTCTTTGTTTGTCAAGCAACCCGGAGGCAATATGGATCGTGGGCAGGGATTCTGTTACCTACGAACGGTTCTAGGAACCAGCAAGTCAGCACAACCCTTTTAAGCAGCTTGGGAGCCTCCAAGATCCAGGGTGGCTGGCGTCCCCCGTGTAGAGGGTGATCCTGGGTCGCTACAGAGGTCGAGGGAAAAGGGTGGATGATGCACAGTCCTCGCTGCCACTGGAGCCAGGAAAACACCGGCAGCAGCAGCACAAGGAGGGGCTCCCCGAAAGCACTGGATGGAGAGGAGCCTTTGTGACAAAAACCTCCGGAAGGGGAGCTGGTTTCTGTAACAGCCAGCTGAGAATAAGAGGGGCGTGAGGATGGGACGGGGGAGGGCACAGACCCTAAACACGCTTAAAAATTACACAGGTCTTCCTCCCCGCGGAAGAAAGGAATGGGAAACCACCCCTGAGCCATCTCTACCTGTGAAACCTTGAAAAGGATCGCCAGAAGTCAGAATCGACTCAATGGCATATCACTACTCTAACTGTTTTGAAAACCTTTCGTCAGCGGCCGGTAGGGTCCCTTTGGGTGCTGGAAACGACACAAGGAGTGGGTGGGAGATGCAGTGGAGCGGCCCTCGTGCAGCTTCGCCCAAACGAACTTGGGGAGGAGAGGCACAGCTCCTTTCGGTCACACGCGGGGGGCGACCGGATGCGCAAGTGGGAGGCCCGCCGCGGGCTTTCCGCCTCGACGCGGCCAAAGTCGAAGAGCAGGGATCTGCCCTCCAGAAGGCGCCCTCCTCGCCCACCCCCTTTCCCCTTCAATGGATTTAGGAGGGCCGGTCTACCAAGGAGCGGCTTGCTGCCTTTGAACCATCTGATCGTCGTCACCGGTCGGCTGGCCATGGCCGTGCAGTTCAGCTCGATCTCCTCTCCTTCCAATGCCGTCTCCTTCTGGTACTCGATCCTCAGGTTGCGAGGGGGCACTGGAAGGAAGCAACATCGGAAACAAGGCAGGTCAGGGAGCTGCGCACGGATACAGAAGCGAGGCTGGAGGGACGAGCCTCCCCCCCCCCCCCNGAGGAGGAGACTGACAGACCAGAGGCGAAAAGCCGATCCTAGCCTCCCCAAGTGTTGTTATGCTCACGGAGGCCCTTTCCCTTCCACACCGCCTTGCGTTGCCCTCCTCTGTCTGTCACATGGGCCAACTCCAATATCCAGCAGGCTGCACTCATCAAGAAGGCACCCTTCAGGGGGTGCCCTGGGATACAACGATAAAGGCAGCCCCACTTCCTTCCCCCCAGGCGGCTGCAATGGCATTGCATTGTGTGCCCCCCCTCCCGGCCACCCCAAAAAAGGTGGTAGGCTTGAGGGATAGACAGAACGGCAAATATTCTGTCCCACGGTGAGCGATCCAGGCAACTACAAGTATGTCAGCATTAAATGGAGCTTTAGAAGAGAGATTTATTCTTAGGCACACATTTTTATTTATTTTCCTCTGATTATTCTGATTAAGCAGTTGGGTGACTCAAGTATGACTAATAAGTGGTGTTTTTGATGAAGAAGTGTGTATGAAACGTATCAGGTGGCAACGTGAATTCACTGCTTCTCCTCGAGGCGCAAAGGAGGGGGCATGTTTTTCAACCCTGTGGGAACAAGAAAGGAAAAATACAAGTGCTCCCTGGGGGCCTATGGCAGCACCTAACCAGGAATTCAGGGGCTATTGGCCAGTATCTGTGCACGCCAGATACTCAACCCGAGTGAGGGATGCCGGCGGCTCATGCAAAGGCTGCTGGTCGGCTCCTTCCTCCACCAGATTCCTTCTGCCAGGCAGAGGGGGATTAAACAGGCCAGTATCTGCTGAAATCTCTCCGCAGAACTGAACACACACCTACTAAATATCTAGTTTGGGTTACATGAGAAAAAAAGGGAATCATAATGCAGCAGCGCTGAGAAAGAACCCTCAGCAGCGAAGGGAGCTGAACTTGAAATTCATACTTCCAGATAATTTTAAATACCTTTTCAATGTGTAATGACATACCAAGAATGGAATCTCATTAAACTGCGGGAGGGGAAAGGAGCAAGAAAGGAGAACTTCTGGAACTAATCAGCAAGTGTGATCTCACACCGTGATGACTTGTGGCGATCCAGGCTTGTCTCCTACCGGAATCTTGGGAAGCCACGGATGGGAGGGTGGGGGAGAGCCAGGCTTCCTGGAAAGTGGGCTAATCCTGCAATTATGCATGTGCTGAGATCCTTGGGGCCACAAGTACTAAAATGACACTCATACACCAGGATCCCTCTGGTGATCTTGGAGGAGGAGAAAGGGGTGGACCTTGTTAGATTGCCATGTCGTGCGTGAAGAAGGTAGCGGATGGGTGTAGCCTTGAGATTTAGGTTGCATGTCCTCCAGAAAGGAAGGAAAGGAAGGGAAGGGAAAGGAGGAAGGAGGGAGGGGAGAGGAGGAAGGGAGGAAGGGAGGGAGGGAAGGAGGAGGAGGAAGGAAGGAAGGAAGGAAGGAAGGAAGGAAGGAAGGAAGGAAGGAAGGGAGATTACGTTCAAGGTTCTCTTGACTACAATTAAGCATGCAGAGATATCATCACTGTGTCAAGAGGTGGAACAGCCTGCAGATGTACATAATCCTTGATTTTTACATTTGCATCGGAGACCACAACAAATAAGCAACTGTACTTGACCTTTATTATATTGTCTAAGATTTATTCAAGCAAACATAGAAGCTCAGAACAAAGGAGCGAGGACCGCTGATTCCCTTAACTGGCAAATATATTTAACTTGTAGATTATGTTTTGATGACAGTGTGGCTTGCGGGAGGCAAATGTCAAGGTCTTGGGGGGGTGGGGGCACGATACAGCGAGAGCCCTGGAGAAGTGAAAGTGATGCTCAAGGCAGCTTCTTCTTCTAGAAGAACCAGCCATGACAAGAGCTCCCCTTCAAGACTTTGCCCCTTCCTGTCCCACACACTCAAGGTGTGATACAAACATTTTCCAGTCCTTAGACTTTGTGTGTTAGTGGTATATTATTTTTAGTGTTTAGTGCATTGTTTTGTTGTAGTCCTGTTTGAACTGTTTGTACATTGCCCAGAATAGCCCTTCAGCGTGAATGGGGCAGTACATAAATTAAACTGATGGATAAATCAATCAATAAAATAAGAAGAGAAATCTGGAATGTACCAAGGGAGCAGTGCAGAGTTTGCTTTTAGAGATGCAGCAACTTACATCCTGACTTCTCCCTGTTCCGTGGATTATAAGCATTTCTTTTTAAAAAAACAACAACAACCCGCAAGGGTTCCCATCCTGCCCTTCTGACCCAAAGGCCTGGAGAGGTGTGCCAGGGTCTTTGGATAACAAAACAAGAAATGGCACGCAGCAGGAAACCTTGGGCTCCAGGGCTTGAGCTGAAGGCGATGCTGCTACTGGAAACGTCCAAGAACCTAGCCTTGCTTTCACATCCCTCCTGCCTTCTGCTCTCCAAACAAGCCGAAGCCGGCTCTTACCGAGAACCGTGATCGTCATGTAGTATTCCTGCGGGGGGTCCGTGTACAGTTGGCAAAAGTACCTTCCTTCATCCGAAATGGAGACGTTGGTGAGCGACACTCTCAGCTCACTGCTGGAGAAATTCACCAACTGAAACCTGCTGTCTTTCAGAGCTGTGGAAGAGACACAGAATGGGAAACTCCAAGGCACAAGGCAGACGTGGCGCACTGGGCGCCTCACCCTCGCACCTTCCCCTAGGATGCACACAAAACATTAAAAAGAAAACGCCTGGAGAGGTGACAACGACACTGACACACAGCAGGGGGCATCACCCTCTTTTGCTCCATCTTGCTGTTTGGACTAGTTTTGTTACCATATGGATCAAACCAGTAGCGCTACTTGCCAATTAGTATCATTAACCAAAGGAAATGCCCTGTACCATATAATGATAATTGTAGTCATATAGCCCATTTGCCTTCTGCTAAAAACAACAACAAAACAGAGCAAATGACGGCAGGAATTCTTTAGCAAATTGATGACCGCTACGCAAACCATCTCTTTGAGAATTGGAAAGTCCATTAAAAGCAGTTCAGCAGGGGCCATGCGATTTGTACCTGCACATACTACACTGTTGTGTTAATTTAGCAAGAAAGAAGGCAGGCTTCCCACCTAGAAGTTAGGTGAAGAACCAAAGGTCACCCAGTCTGAAATTAGCAATATCTTCTACTAGTTAAGTTTCTAGATGCACCACAAAGGCTTTATTGCATCTTGGGCAGCTGTAGATGTTGCCGCGGATTTAAGGAAGGTCTGGCTTTAAGGTTTCACCCTCCAAAGAGGGACAACCAACCATTCCTGAATCCAATGTGGCGCCCGTCCTGTTTTGCCCGATTCAGGGTTTTTATTTTGGCTAAAGATTTCGGCATTTATTTGTAATTCAGAGTAAACAACTATAATCAATTGCTATCACATTGAAAGATAGCCTGACTCTTAAATGAGACCACATCAAGGCTTTTAATTAAAGGGAAACAATTATGACTGGCTGCCTCTGCCAACCGACAGAAGAGAAGACTAAAGCCTTCACACATCTAACATCAAATTAAAAAAAAGAAGGATTCAGTATCTTTTTTGATCAAGATTGGCCACCAACGACACATAACTCACGCCGGAAATCTCTGAAATAAATCGTCTGTCTGTTGGGATTCAAGAGCTGAATCACGGAGTCGTCGCTGTTTTTGACTCTGCAGCTGATGGTGGCCACATCGCCTTCGATGACGGTCACGTCTTCTGTCACCAAGTTCTGTCCATCACCTGAAGGCACAAAAAGGAGAACAGAAGGCAAGTCAATCGACAACTGCTCATTTCGTTACCTCACAGGGGTTTGGTCAAGATGGAAAACACCAAAGAGCCCAAGAAAGCAGCAAATGAATAGCCTAGTGGAGAAGTTGGTACATGAAAACGTGTCTACACAACTATAGGTGACTGCACACAGGGGTTGAAACTGACCCTGATTTGCCAATTTCATTTTCTACTAATACTCTCTCACTGTTCTTCACACTGAACAGCACTGACCTCCAGGTAACACCATCTGCCCCAGCTTATGGCTGCCACACGTCTCTGCTTCCATTTCATCCTCCCACCCATGTTCCTTTTCATTGAGATGAATCAGTGCTGGGCAATTATATGCACTTTTCCCATTGAGCCAAATCCAACAGATTAGACCTCCACCCCCACCCTTGGAGGTTTAGTTATTGGAAAACTAAGGTGATTCTCATAGATTCATCAGCCAGAATCCTACAGTATTTGTCTTTGTGTAACATGAAGTGTCACTTCCGTAGATCTGCCAGACAGCATGCCAACACAACAAGGACTGCTCAATGCACCAATGGAAGTGGGCTCTGCATAATGCTTCCATCTTGACGCAACTGGAGCTGGCACTTGCGTAAAAAGCAAGTTGTACAAGCATACTTGCTCAACAGGATGTTTAGCCACTGGGTCTGTTTTACTGGGGATCCACCTATGGATTCAGCCCCATATTAATACTTCGAGGCCTTTAGGAAATCAAAGCTCATCATGTGCATTTAACCAAGCAAGTAATACAATCTTATTTTACAAAATACTGCTCTTAACATTGTGGATCGTTGCCCAGTGAAATGTCTTCATACATCTACCCCTTAGCAGAAATCAAGCAACAGGAGCTGTCTTGGTCCGTGCTGGAAACAAAACAAAACAGAATTTATGGTTGGACAATGTTTTTTGTAAGGACCGAAACAAATGCACAGAAGTGTGCAAGCTTTCTGGAAAGCTCTTTTTGTCAAGCCAGGCGGTACAAAAAACAAACAAAAAAGGCAGGAGAAACAGAAGGGCTGAGCATTGTTAGGTGTACTGGATACCTGGCTTACTGACCAGTGACTTGTTCAGCCTGCAACCTTGCAGAATAATCTTGGAACTGCATTGCTGGAAGAGACCTTTTCGGTCATCTAGCCCAGCCTGTCAAGCAGACCCAGTGGGGAATCCAATCCCCCAAACTCTGACTCTGCAGCCAGATGCCTAAACCAACCCCCAAACTGAGAAGTCAAATCACAGATGTCACAGCAAAAATGCCTAGCCTAGCTTCTGAACCTTTTCACCTCTTCCTGCATCTCTCTCTCTCTCTCTCTCTTTTCCTTTCTTGCTTCTGCCCCATGTTGGTATTACGGAACTAGGTACTTCTTGATTGCTCTTTAGAAAGAAGAAATGTTAAGCAATACAGAGCATTCTTACATAAAAGATGCTGTTTGATTAAAGACTGGTATTTTTAATTAGCTGCTGATTTTGGATTAAACATTAATGTATACATCAGGTACTCAGAGAGACATTACGCTCAACGTGGCTCACAATGCAAACAGTCAATAGTAGGGAACTTTGTTTCTCTAACTGCGCACAAAGCGACTTTGCTGGTTTGAACTGGAGGTGCATCAGGGGTAGGGAAAGATGGCTACTCGTCTTTTAAAAGGATCAGAACAGAAACACTGGTTTTGCTGAATGTGCCGGAGGATCTGATGAAATAACAGTCAGCCAACCACCCGGCCACGCTTCTGTTTGAATGAAGCTGTTCCTTCGTGAAAACACAGCCACGTAAATCACTGCCCAAAGATGTTTCAGCGGCTGCCACGCACCAGCCCTCCTTATAAAAACCATACTCTTGAGAAGACAACCATTAACTGTATTGGACGTCACTAACGAGAAGCTTTACGAGAAGCCTGAGTAGGGAGGAAAGACAAACACACACAAGCACTACCATTATTGGGCTAAAAATAGTAGGCGACGTGCAGAAAACTGCAAGCTAACTCCATTGGGCTTGTCACTTCACGGCGCTGTAGAGGAAGAGTCGGGGCTGGCGGTGTGCGGGAGAAAAGAGAGCGAAGCCGCGCTTGAGCCGAACAAGGAAAAACAAGCATGCAGGTGTACAGGGCAAGACACATCCGAATTTCAGCTCAAATAGGGGCTTCACAAGCTGAAGAGTTTAAAAACAAGGCATGACATGAGGCTGCATTCAAGCACAGGTTAAAGTCAAGGAAAAAGGCAGGAAGATTGGGGGGGGGGTCTGGAGACTCCCACTTCCCAGGTTTCCACTAGGCTTGCCCTGAATTGTTTCTGAACCATTCGACTCCTGCAAGGTCTCATGGGGAGGGGGGTAAAAAGGCCCCAAATGGCACCCCACAAACCCTTCCTGGTGGGTGTCTCTCTCCTCTTATTGCCTGTGCTTCACTTCCTTTACTACGGAACACAGACCTTTACATAAATGCATTTTTACATTGGTTATGTTCCTTCAGGTTGGGTTTTTTTTTGTTTGTTCCTACAATTTATCGAGGGTCCAATTATGCACTTCTAGAGCTGGCAGAAGCAGCACTGACTGTTAAGTACCTTGTTTACGGCTCCTTTCTTTCCTGAACCCCCAGCATATTTTGCTGCACAGGCAGAACTCATTCCGTGGCAATGGCCTGCAAAGTCAAACCGGGGTGAGGGGGGTTGGGGGGACCAGACCCATTTTTGCCATGTCCTCGTGGCAGTGAGGGCTCACCCGACACACAGAGATGTTCTTTCGGGGACCCAGTGAAGACCTAACTGGTTGCCTGGCCCTCTGAGGAGCTGTTTTAATCTAGCTGGCTCTGTTCATGGGCACCTTTATCTATCATTCGATTGTGCTCATCCTTGTTTGGTTCTACTGGGATCCTCTTAAGGTCTGAGGTGTGTAAGCTGGTTATGGACACCCTTGGGACTGAAGTATGGAAAGAGAGGTCCAAAGCAAGCCAATGTAAGGAGAGTCTGTGTAAGGTTGGCCCCTTATGGAGGCTGTTCATACCAACATGAATTTCATACCAACGTTCATACCAACAAGAATTTGACCCAACTCCGGGAGGCAGTGGAAGACAGGAGGGCCTGGCGTGCTCTGGTCCATGGGGTCACAAAGAGTCGGACATGACTAAACAACAACAACGGAAGCTGTTGTAACTCCACGGCCACTGCACTGAATTTCGGACACTCTGACCCCCACCAAGTTACACCAACCACAAGAACCCCGGATGCATGAGAGAATCCCAGGGACGACTTCTTCTTCTTCCCTCCCTCCTTGGGGAGGGTGTCACCATCCATGTACTGGCAGGAAGGAGCAGGCAGGATCAATAATGCACGGCTCCTGACGAGCAAAGTGGAGGAGAGAACGAAGTGGCGCAACATGCAAGGCAGTCGGAGAATCAGCACTAGAAATGCCACCGTTTCCATTGAGCACAGAAGCTGGTCTGCACCGGGTACTACTTTCTGCTTGCTATATTTAAATCACCAGATGACACTGTGGAAGTCGAAAGAAATAGAAGGAAAGCTTTTCTTCATTTACTCTCAGTGAACTAAGGCGATTCCTTGCAGGCACAAGCTCTGAATACAGCCTCCCACCTCCACCCCCTCCACATGCCCTATTTTTAATGAACTAATGCCAGGGCGTCAGCTGTAATATCCCAGAACACAGAACTGGTTAGCAGGAGAATTGGGGCCGGGAGAGGAGGGATGGACTCAGCCATCAAGAGCATTCCCGCGTCTATGCTCTACAGGCAATGCTAGAATCCGTCCAAAAAGCACCAACTTGCTCATGACACACAATGAGAAAGAGGACACCTGAGAGGGAGGGGAGGGTCCATGAAGGACAAACCTACACCCATTGGGACAGAACCAGCCCCCCTCAAGCTTTTGGCTCTGAAATGTGTAGGAATACATCTGCCATCATCCCCAACCAGAGAGTGGGACCTGGAGTCCAACACCTCCAGAGGGCAGGAAGGCAGGCTGACATGGATCCAACTGAGCTAGAAAGAGTGATGATCTCCGTTGGTAGAAGAGAGCTCCTTCTCGCCGCGTTGTGGCTCTACCCCTTTAGCAGCTCCATCACTCAGGTTTTTTTATTTAGTGCCATCTGATACCCCAATGAGCATATCCTTCACTTCAAGAATTGCCCAAATGCCAAGCATCTTTGAGAAAATGAAATGGCGTATCATTTCAGCTAGCCTTTAAAAAAAAAAGGACTGAGTTTATGGCATCAACTGGGAAAACATTTTAGCATCCTCATGTTTTATACATCAAGTGCAAAGTTTGGTCTACTACAACCAACCCCTGAGACACAGCTGTCTAAAAATTTTAGCGATTGAACGGCAAGCCGTGTTTAGGAAGTACGGCGGCTTTAATTCAGTATTGGATTTAGGCCATTCTTCTTTAAATCACCAAGCCGAAACACAATGGATAATGACAAGTATAGAAGGAGGCTTTGGGATGACAGCCCGGCTTTTGTGAATAGGCATTAGCCCGAACACAATCCATATTCCAGGCTGGCAACGTCTAGGAGAGTCAGGCAAACAAAAGTAAGTCCTCCAAGCGATGCTGGTATTAATTGGTAGAGGTGGTTTTGTGAGGCTCATTAGCACAAATGTTAAAAACAAAACAACAACATCTCACAAGTATGTGGAAAACAGGTCTTTGAATGCCCCACGAGTAGTGATGGCCAAGAAGGGAAGCCAGCTTTGCTAACGGCTGAAAGATTTCTGGCCGGTGAGAGGGTAGCTCTATGCTGACAACTTGACCCCAGGAGCAAGACATGGGGTGGCAGTGGGGAGCTTTGGGAAGGAATCAGGCGGCTCGATCCAGGCTGACCCTTGACCTCTGCCCGATACAGCTGCTCCTGGTCTGCTTCCGTTCGCAAATAGAGAATCTACTTTTGCCAAATCACACTGCTGAGGAACCTGTAGGGTAATCTTGGACATGCCGACAAACTAAAAATTATGTGTGCC